ATGTTTTCTTAGCTTCTGCTAGCCTACCTTGCATCACCAACCACCTTGGGGACTCGGGCATTTTGAGAATCCCAAAAGCTAAGGCAATTGAAGGAATTCCAGAAACTCCTAGCATAATTCTCCATCCGAGTTTCAAAGTCAGTTTTCCGAACAAATAATTTGACACGTACCCTATTAAGATTCCAAGACTTATGCAAAACCCCGGGAGCGAGGTTAGAAGGCCTCTTGATTTGGCAGATGAAATTTCTGCAGAGTAAACTGGAGCAATCATTAGTGCAAACCCTACACCAATGCCAGCAGTGCACCTCCCAGTCATTAGGACTGCATAGTTTGGACCATACCCCATTAGCACTCCACCTATTAAGAAAATAGTGGAGGCTAGAACAATAGTATAACGCCGACCGATGTAATCAGATGTTCTTCCAGCTGCTAAGGATCCCACTAGAGCACAAATGTTTAGTATTCCTGCAAGTACTTCGACTTGTACATCGTCGATTTTGAGGTCTTCCTTGATGAAGATCATGGCTCCACTCATCACACCAGTATCTATATTGTGAAAGAAATTGTTTTCATGATTAGCACCTTCATAAATTGTAGGATCATGCGTTCATGTATAATAAAACAAATATAACTAAGGGAAAACCAAATTGTTTACAAGCCAATTAATCTAATTAACGGGGGTTAATAAACTACAAGCATTAACAGATTAAAAGAAAATTAACTAGAGTGTAAAATGTAGCATATACCATAGCCAAATATAATAGATATAATGGAGGCAACCACTGCACAAGCAACAGAAATCTTGTTGATCCTTTCCGGGGCTTCATGGCTTTCGCCACTGCCCTCCACCTCCATCGGGGATGTAGTAATATTCTCTGGCATATCTGCGCTCGTCTGAGACTTTATTTTAGCTTGTAGCGTGTGTCTGTCACACTCTATATCTGGGTACCACTAACCAATATTATGTCTCTTTTTATAACAGTTATTGTTAGGAAGCATTCAATGGAAAAACAATAAGATTGTGGTACTGTACTCTGTATGAAAATTTCCCTGGATAATAGAATCGTCAACTCGATATATATATATATATATATATATATATATATATATATATATATATATATATATATATATAGAACCTCAGATGTATGAACACACAAAGAAATTGCATGAAATCCGACCTGTATAATCGGCCAAATTCACCCGCTTGATGTGCCATTGACCAAGGCATCTTTAGACTCTAAAACAGACATTTGGAAAAAGAAAAAACACGAGATCTTGGTTAAAAATTGGATAAAAACTCTTGGTGGGATCGAATATGTGGGTATTTCATATTTGTGGTACTAAGCATTCAATTGTTTTTATGTAAAAAGTGTAACAGAAAAGCACTTGGAAGATTTGCACCATCCATGCATTATTGTAGCAATATTGGTGAAATTGTTTATTTAATTTTTTTTTTCTTTGAATGGTGTCATAATTAGAATTGCTTTCACTTATGGCACATAATAATATTGTACTACTAAATTTGAAAATTAAATGATGTGTTACCAATAAAAAATAAGCACGTTAAGCAATAATTTAATCATCAACTTTCATATTATTTGATTTATAAAATTTAGTTTATAAATTTAATCTTCCTAACATTACCTAATATTACACTCTAGATTACAGGTTACATTTTTGCTCACCACCCTCAAATGGTGCTAATGCTCACAATTATACTTGTTACTATTGGACAAGTTTAAATTTTGAGATTTGTATTCATCCACTCCACATATCTCAAACTTTAAACTCAATAGAATGGTGATGAGGGTGGGGAGCAAAACTATTCTCATAGATTACCAGCTGTGGTACCAACTTATGAAGTGGGTTGGGCAGTGAAATAGCTACAGATCACGTCGCGCATTATCAATTTTGTTTATTCACATGTAGAAAGAACAGAGAATTATATCAGGAATAACCCGGATTTGCTATATTCCATTTAGGCCTAACTTTCTTTCCAATAAACAATTTTCCTTATTCGACTGACGAGTCATCTTTTTTTTTTGGATAAGAGTTTGTCAATCCTAAAAAATATCAAGCGTACGTGGCATGAAAACCAAATAACTAATGAGCTAGGTTGAATGCTTTTCGTGACAACTAATCGATCAAGCTCGGTCGGTGAGTGAACGAAGGTGGTGGTGATGTTGACAACTGGTCTACCAAATTAGGAAAGTTAGGATTTTTCTCAAAGATGAGATAGTTTCACATAAAGCGAGAGATTACGCGGAACAAATTTGCATATTGTGTTGAAGGTCCCTCACGTTACTAATGCCTCCGTATTAATAATGCTAACTTGCTTGCTGACCATGTTGAAAAATTGTTTGCCGAGCTACTAAAGCAACCAAGAATAATATTCCTAAAAATGTTGTCTTCAATTATCCCATGGATTGCCATCCTCTTGAACTTGTTTGTGAAATCGAAACCACATGTAATCCCATCTTTATCTCAAATCATCCCGTTGTTATCACTAAACCAACGGCACATTAATCCAACTTTTGCACGGCATTAATCAAACACCACGCACATTGCTAAAGCATTTAACAATGAAGCACAGTATGAGGCCTTACTAGCAGGCCTTCGAATGGCAAAAGATTTGGTGGTGAAGAAGCTCGTAATTCATTCCGATTTCGAGCTAATCATCAGCCAGACTACTGGGGAGTACATGGTAAAACATCCAAATATGGTGTAATACCTGGATAAGGTACGCAAACAACTTGAGGCATTTCAAACTTACACTCACATTCAAGTTCCGCGGGCAGACAACGCCCACGCGGATTCGTTAACTGGCCTAGGCTCCGCCCTCAACCACTAACTTAAATGCTCTATTCCGGTGGAGTATCTAGACAAGCCAAGAATAGGGGCAAAGCCAGCAACCGATGTGTCATAGGTTAGTACAACTCCTAACTGGCAAAGTTGTATTATAGACTACCTAGTCAACGACACACTCCCCATGGAAAGGTTGGAGTCTAGAAAGCTCTAAATAAAGGCAGCACACTACTACATGTGGAAAAGCATTCTCATCCGAAGATCCTACACAGGACCACATCTCTGTTACCTGGCACCTTTCAATGACTTGAAGATTCTAAGATCAATCCACGAAGGAGTTTATGGAAATCACTCCAGATGCCGATCTTTAGCACAAAAGGCTATTAACGCAGGCTACTACTGGCCTACCATACATCAAGATGCTAAGGAGTTAGTACAAAAGTGCGATCGCTGCCAACGCTACAAGCCAGTATCAGCACTGCTTGCCAGCGAACTACACCCACAGACGAGTCATTGGTCGTTCATGCAGTAGGCAATCGACCTGGTAGGACCTATGCCGCTTGCTACTGGGGGCAGAGGCACGATGATATTGGCAACTGATTACTTCACCAAATGGGTAAAAGCATAGCCCATGACAACCACGACTCAAACAGACATAGAGCGTTTCATATGAAGGAACATCATTTTCCGATTTGGCATCCCTCAGTCCATCGTCACCAACAATGGCTCACAATTCATTAGCAAAGATTTGGCGAAGTTCTTCCAAAAGTATGGCATCAAGCAGCATATGTCTACACCAAGATATCCTCAAGGCAATGGGCCGGTTGAAGCATCCAACAAGATGATCCTCGACTGCCTCAAGAAATCCCTTACCGACAAAAGGGAAAATGGCCCGACGAACTCCCCTAATGTCTATGGGCATATCGCACCACTAAAAGACAAGCAACTGGTGAGATTCCTTTCTCTTTAGCATTTGATTCAAAAGCAATCATTCTTTCCAACATAATCGTGCTGAGCATCAACACTTTACTGCCAAACATTAAGTAGAATAGTAAGGAGATAGCCACAAGTTTATATCTGGCAGAGGAGAAGTGCAAGTAGACCATTACCCGCATCATAGCCTATCAGCAGCAGCTCATCTCCAGCTACAATAAAAGGGCCAAGATCTGGCAGTTCCAACCCGAAGATCTAGTCCTAAGAAAAGCTTTCATCACTGCCCGCGCTCCAAAAAGATGGATCCCATTTAGGAAGGTCCGTAGAAGATCAGCAGAGTATGAGGTAATGGTAATTACACCCTTGCCACCATGAACGACAAAGAGATCGAGAAGTAATGGAACGCCTACAACCTGAAGAAGCACCATGTGTGACCTTCCACTATATTAAAACCCGAAGACTTAAGCAGCTCAACGGGCACCACCTCACAAGCCGATGACTATCCAGTTGTTATGTAGTCTTTATAATTAAGTTAGTCGTTCGTTTCACTCATTTTTCAATGAGGAATTCAAAAGTAATTTATAACTTGGCTCGACTACATGTCTACAACAACTTATATTTCCTGCACTTCAAAAGAAGATCGCGCCCTTCTTAAGGACTCACCACAGGAATTGCACCCCTCAAGGGACCAACCATACTCATTAATGTGAGAGGATAAACTAATTTCCCGACACCCATATGGGTCTGCTCTCCAAAATGGGAGGATAAACTCTACACTTTGAATATCTAGACGTGGATGAGTCGGGCTACCTGTTATGCATTTAGCAACCTAAATATTAAGCTACTAATTGCACGTTTTAAACTCGCAAGTGCACAAGATCAAACACATAGTATTGTTTGTACCACACTTAGGGCCTCCGTATTTAGATCCAATATAAATACTCAGGGGACTCAAATATAATTATGTAATAAATGAAGGGGCAAATATGTAAAAAGGGGATGAGCCCTTAGTCTACAAAATGGCCTCTTCACCTTCACAATCCTCTCACAAACAGAGAAATACAATATCAATGTGGATGTAGCCCAAACATTAGGGTGTACCACGATACATCTTGTGTTCTTTACTTTCTTGCAGATTCACGGTCGGATTTACGTTGTTCCAAGACCCCTCCGGTTTTGAGCATTAACATTTGGCGCCATCTGTAGAAACCAACACGAAAAGCTATGTCGGTCATCTCTCACTTTTTCATCTCACCACCATGAAACCTCACCACAATATCCATCGTGAATCTGCTCACCTAAAAACCACATATCCAAATTTCTCAATCCCAAAACCCAAACTCAAAATATCTCGCGCTCTCTCCGTCTCTTTTTCTTTCCTTCTCCTCCCATTCTTCTTCGTCTCCACTGTCACTGATTCTATGTTCCTCCCCTTCTTCTTCGTCTCCACTATCACTGATTCCGCGTTATTCACATTCCCGAAAGACCCAAGCTTTCAGTGGCTACACCAGAGAGCTCCTCGTTTGGATAGTGTCTGCGAAAGTGGCAATGAGGGCCTCCGGTACCAAGCGTGTAAGCCAGTGTTAGAGGTTGGCACGTGCGAACCAAACCATCAACTGAATACGGTTGCAAGAGGAGCTGAAGCAACTGGCGGAATAGATAATAATCATGATCACCAGGGGATGAGTGAATGGGTTATGCTCGACTGCCTAGTTACTTCTCATGACCTTGGAAATTATCAAGATTCATCGTCCAAATGAGCAACCAGGTATGATGATGCGAATGCACCCTCTTCTGTCAACCAAATTAACCCACAGCACCTCTCGTTGCTTGGAGAGATGGATTTTTGGGGCTATGCAAAATAATATGGATTAGAGCTTGGCTCGAGATCCGGGCCAAACACAGAAGAAACAGATTTACCGCCCTTCACAAGCTCGCTGTTTGCTGCCCTGACTTCCTTCATTCCGGCATCCTCTTCGAATCCTCCGACCGAGGCTTCCACGAGCCAAATTGAAGCAAATCAGGAGGTGTGTTCTTCTGGAAATGATTGTTGGTCAGGGCATCCTCTTTGAGTACTCTTCAAATTGACGCAGTCCAGAGCATCAACATCTGGTACAACAAACATATTTGAGAAAGTAGTACAGTCATCGAAGCGATCCCTCAACATTGCTTTTGTGCCATCCAAGGCACAGTGAATAAAGAGAAAGCAAAAGCAAAAAAAGAAAAGAAAGGAAGTGGGAAATTATGCTCTAACATGTGAAAAGCCACAAACAAAAAAGGATGTCGACCACTGGAAGAAGATAACTTTATTATCTTTATTATCAGTGCATCAACATTTTGTCGACCACCAAAGAAGATGCCTACCAACAATGAAATTTTCATCATGAAAGGGAATGCATGTTCCCTGCCCATTCCCTGAGAAAGCTACGGGAAGACCCAGGAGGAAGATAAGGGTTCCTTACTTTAAATGATGTAATTTATTTTTCTTATCTTTCGGAAACATCTGTATAACCCCATCAGATAAAAATAAATAAATAAATAAAGGCAAGCCCAAAATAATGGGCTGGAACATTATGTGGAAGGCGAATGCCCATATGCCCAAAAAAGCCAGGCCCTCTATTATCACCAACCAGGTGATCAAAAGTAAGTTCGGTACTCCAAAATTATTCGGCAACCTGCCGCTATTATCACCAACCAGGTGATCAAAAGTACGTCCAGTACTCTAAAAATTATTCGGCAGCCTGCTGCTATTATCACCAACCATGTGATAAAAAGTACGCCCAGTACTCCAAAATTATTCGGCAGCCTGCCGCTATTATCACCAACCAGGTGATCAAAAGTACGTCCAGTACTCCAAAATTATACATGAACATCACTCATGTCAAACATAAATAAACAATCATGAGCATCACACATGTCAATCATACATAAACATTCATAAGCATCACTCATGTTAACATTCATGAGCATCACTCATGTCAACATCCATGAGCATCACTCATGTCAATCAACATAAACATTCATGAGCATCACTCATGTCAATCAGCTTCGAAAGCTTCATTTACAGAGCTCCCGCTTCAAAAGCTTCATTTACAAAAGCTCCAGCTTCAAAGCTTCACTTGTAAAGCTTTATCTACAAAGCTTCAGTGCAGGGTATACAAATACTGCCTCCGAACAACCGCCACTTCAGCCCATACATGGATTCAATTTGAAGTCTCCAGCGAACATACTCTATTGACTGAAGACTTGGGGGACTACATTATGTACCATATATTGGGCCTCAACTGGGCCTCATGAAAAATACTTGGGGGACTTAGCCCATTATTTATGTATTGAGGAGCGAGCCCTTATCTATAAAAATGACTCCCTCACTTTCATTAGAGAGCACCCATTCTTCATGTATTGATGAGCGAGCCCTTATTTTATAAAAGGGACTCCCTCATTTTCATTGGAGAACATCGACGCCTGCTGAGCAACCGTCTCGCCGCGAGCATCACTCTTAACCCATCACTTATGTATTGAAGAGCGAGCCCTTATTCTATAAAAGGGACTCCCTCACCATCATTAGAGAGCATCAACTCTAACCCATCATTCATGTATTGAGGAATGAGCCCTTATTCTATAAAAGGGCCTCCTCACCCTCACAATCCTCAAGCCTCACTCTCACATTACAAGGCTCTCACCCTCACAATCCTCTCACAAACAGAAAAATACAATATTAGTGTGGACGTAGCCCAAACATTGGGGTGAACCCCGATACATTTTGTGTTCTTTACTTTCTTGCAGATTCACGGTCGAATTTACGTTGTTTCAAGACCCCTCCAGTTTTGAGCATCAACAAGTATAGAAAGCAAGTACGAAATCATTCCCATGAGGATTGCACTAATATGTATCTAGAGTATGATTCCTAACAATTTAAATTAATTAATTCACAAAACTAACAAATATGCAAGTAAAGGTTTAACAAAATAGTTTGAGATGTCTTAAGTTTAAGTATAAAAGCACAATATAAAGAACGTAGGCAAATAAAAGTAATTAGCAATAAGAATTTTGAAAACAATGTTTGAACGGTTAGGACTTTGACTTCCATCTCTAACCATTTTTGCCTAAGCCTATGATACAAAACAGATTTTTTATGCTTTATGTTTGTCAACCTAAAGGCATGGTATCTACTCTTTAAGCTATTGATTTCCATAAACAACGAATTAGGCATGGGTGTCTACATTAACTCTTTTCATTCTCAAAGTATTTAGCATGGTATCTACTAAGTTGCACTCCGAGAAAGCATAATACAATGGAAATTGACAAACACACGAATCCTAGAATATGGTATCTATTCCGGTTATTCGTGATAATTAATTCCAAGAACCATTACTAGTTCTCTTGTTACTCGGCATAGGTACAAGATTCGATCATCCAAATTTACCCATGTAACAATTTCAATTACAAAGCTTTTCTACGGTGATCAATTACAAACTCAATTACAAAGTCTCATTATATTAAAAAGACTTTTAATTTACTTTCTCTCTAACTTTTTGGCTTTCTTCAATTGGTTAAAACTCCTAATAAATAGGAATTTTAATCTTCTTTTAATCTGCCACATTGATACACGTTTCTAGAAAACTTTGTATTCGCATGTAGCCCGACCTTCATGTACTAAAACTGCCATAACTCCCTCTAGAAAAATGATATTCACGAACTGTAAAATTCTACGAAAAATAGACATACGTGGCTTTCCAAGCATATATGACAAATCTCCTGGTTCTTCCTGAGTAAATACTGTTTAACCCATGAACTCAGCTGATCTGCACAGGCTGTGCTGAAGACATAGGATTGTAAAAGCTTTTTTAGCTCCTTTTGCACTCTTTGCTTGTTACAACCTACAAAAACACAAATATAATGTAAAACCTATATAGAAGTGTAAGACAAAGGTGTAAACAAGGAGAATTATTATATATATAATAGCGAATTTACGAGCATAACACTGCCCTAGTATAACTAGATGCACGATGGCTTGCACCAAGATTCCTAGAAATGGCCACAATGGTTTTTTTCAAGGCTTAACTAACTAAAGGATTTTGGGTCTCTTGGCCTAATCCGCAGGGAACAGGGCCCTAGAGATGGAGAGGGCACATTACGCAGTACGCCCTATGGACGGCTGCCCTGGAAACCTAAAGCTGCTACCGAGTGCACTAAGGTAGCTTATGGTTTCTAGAAAACTACCTACGGCTTGCCCTTCAAGTAGTAAAGTCGCGCTAGACTTATACAACTACACATTCTTATGAAAGATTAAACAAGCTAGCGTGCATATATGAAGCCTTATCCATTGCCAACATGCTACGTAGTCGATAAGCTTCACTACTGCCGAGCACGGAACAACCTAGACCAAGTCCTAAAGTGTTGTGCTACTTGCTACGCAACCTACAAAATTGGAGAAAGCCAAGGTTAATAGCCTAGTGGTTACGCAGACTTATCTGCTTCTATAAGTAAGGCATCCGGCTGCCAACCCTATGGCTAACAACTTTGCAAAGTTCTACACCAACACCTACGGCTGCGTAGGCTACGCAGGCCTGTCTACTTCTAGAAAAACAGCACGTCCACCACTGGCCTATAAAGTCTAAAGGTTAGGGTATGAACAAAAGAAGCGAAAATGGAGAAAAGCGAAGGAAACAAGTTTATTAAATTCTCTAGCAAATTTGATAAACAACTAGCAAAGTTCAAATGAGTTCAAGTAAAGCAAAAGCAAACAAGGAAAAACAAAGAAAATCCTAAATGATACCTAGAAGACTACATTTCAGCATCTTAAACATTCCACGACTACTCGGTCGCCATACCTTCAGCAGCCGCGATGCCCTCAGTAGTGGCATTATCCGGTGCTTCACCCCCAGCTGCCCTAGCCTGGGCACCAACCTCTCTAACTACTTCACCAATAGAATATTCGAAAGTGAAGGTGAGCAAGTCTTCCGAAAAAATATAGAAGATCTCGAAAGTCTTACCAGAAAACTCAAAGTCAGACGGCCGCCCTAAGAGATGGTCTACATAATCTAGCTTGTAGAAATTAGCCTGACTCTGAGTAAGCGAAGCCTCGATTTCGTGCAGCTCTTCCATTTCTTTCTTCAAATCGTCGTTGATCTTCAAAGCACCTTGGAGTTCCAACACTTGAGGCTCAATCCTATCAACAACCTTCTTGAAGTGGATCACTTGGTTGTAAGCAGTGATCAATTCTTCATCCTTTGCGTAAGCAGTGGAGCGGAGTTCAAAGACAGCACGCTTAAGGTCTTGAATCTGAGGTATGTAACACCCGATCTCCTTCTTTTCACTTTCATACTTTACTTGGATTGCGTCAAGCCTAGTCTTTAAATTCATGATCTTTTGGCGAGCGGTCTCAAGCTGCAGAGAAGTGGAGGTAGAGATATTAAACCCCTTCAAAGCAGCAAGCTCATATTCCAACTTCTTGACTTTCTCGGCCGAGGAGTAAGCTTCGGTTGCCACAATTCTTGCCACCTCATTGGCAGTCTTGGTATCCTCTCAATCCAGAAGCATACACTTGGCTGCCAGAATCGTCATTTTCTGCATCATGGCTAGCAGAGCAGTCATCCTATACTTGGTCGTGTGTTTCGGAAAAAAACTTGGGCTAACAACCCCTTTGACACCATTAACAAACTTGGCACATACATCCATGTCCTCAAGCAGATCTGGTTTCAAAACCGCAAATCTCAGCAACTTCTCCAGAAACAAACTTGGTGGATTTCTCACGAAT